CCAACCTTCACTAGATCTCATGGCCAGTGTCTAAATTTACTAAAGTGCAGTATCATAACATTTTAACTCTTTTGCAATAATTCAAATATTCTGCGAATACAACAACTTCGGTGTTCACTTTTTGGTTAATTCTTCTTCCACTTTTCCTAAAATTCCTTCTGTTCTTCCAGATAAAACATCTCCTCAGTGGCTCTGGAGACAGGTGCCACCAATCATATCATTTTTTATTTTCACAATTTTGTCACTCATAAATTTATTTCACCTATTTACATTACTTTGTTAAATGTTGTCCAAGTTTCCACTTTTATATCTGGTACTGTTATGTTGTCAGATTCCTTAATTCTTCATGATATTCTTTTCGTTCCTAATTTTCATGTAAATCTAGTTTTTTTCAAAAATTGATCTAAATCTTGTACTATCATCTCCTTTTTTTAATCTAACTCTTGTATTATTTTGTAACAAACCTCCAAAAGGATGATTGGTTCAGTTTGCTTGCACTAAGGATTGTATGTGCTAAATTTGTCTCACTCTTTTCACAATCATTATCATGTTTCTGCTCATATCACTACTACAAAACCCAAATATGGTTCTCTTTGACATCATAGATTAGGTCATGTCTCTGACTTGATTTTTCGTATTATTTCTCAATAGTATCCTTTTATCCCTTACTTTGTAAATCCCTCTCCTTGTGACATTTATCATTTTACTAAACAGCGCAAATTACCTTATCATAGTTGTGAAACACAGTCACATAAAATTATTTAAATTATTCATGGAGACATATGGAGACCATATTTTCTACCTTATAATTGCGGTTACAAATATTTTCTCCCTTTAGTTGATAATTACTCATGTTTTACCTGAATTAAATTTATAAAATCCAAATTTGAAACCCGCACGCATTTAATACATATTATTTCATTGATTGAAACTTAATTTCATACTAAACTCAAATGTTTTCAAAGTGACAATGAAGTAGAATTTTAATAACTGATTTTTTTTATCCAAAGGTATTCTTTATCAAAGAACTTGTGCTGAAACACCTCAACACCCTTAGCTCCAACTACAAACATTCCATTTACTATAAATTCTAACCAGAACCTTAGTTCTCCTGCCCCGCCTTCTCCACATATTAGACACTTCACCCGATATCGCAAACTAACCTCTTACTTAACAAATTTTCATTGTCATTTTATAGTTACTTCTAGCAATTCCACACATCCTCTAAAGGGTACTTGTTTGCATTTCTTATCCTCAATTCTTGATTGTTTCAAATGCAATTCCTCTTATAAAAAATTTTGTTTTGTTTTTAGTAACATTTTTTAACCTACTACTTTCTCCCAAGCATCTAAATTGTATTATTGCAAAAGACTATGAAGGTTAAGTTACAGACTTTACATCAAAATAACACTTGGTCTATTGTTGATCTCTCACAAGGAAAGAGTCTTATTAGTTGTAAATGGGTTTACAAGGTTAAATATCATGCATATGACACTGTTGATAGATACAAAGTCTGCTTAGTGGCTAAGGGCTACACTCAGTTAGAGAGAGTGAATTATTTTGACACATTCTCCTCGGTTGTCAAGATCACCATTGTTTGTGTTCTTCTAGCCATAACAACAGTTAAAGGGTGATTTCTGCACCAACTTGATGTGAATAACGTCCTTTCTTCATGGAGAGCTTCATGAGGAAGTCTATATGGTCCCTCTACGTGGTTTGCTTCCACCAGGTTCTTCTCAGGTTTACAAACTTCACAAGTTGTTGTATGGACTCAAGCAAGTCAGCAAGCAATGACATAATATTCTTTCTACCACTCTTTTATCTCTCAACTACAAACAATCTTCCGCTGATAAATCTTTGTTTGTCAATGTTACTTCCACTTCTTTCACAGCTTTATTAGCTTATGTGCATAACATTGTCTTGGTTGGTGATGATATAGACGAAATTAATTCTGTCAAATGTGTCTTTGATACTAAATTCAAGGTTAAACATCTTGGTGCTCTTTGTTATTTTTTGGGATTAGAAATTGCATGGTTCAAATCTGACATTCACATGAACCAACGTAAATACACTCTTAAACTTCTTGATGATAGTAGTTTACTTGGTTCCAATCTTATTACCATTCCTTTTGATCTCTCTACTATATTTCAGGTTAATCATGGACAACCGTATTCCAATACTGCTGCTTATCACAAATTAATCGGTAAATTGTTATATCTCACACTTACGCACCTTGCCTTTTCTGTCCAACAACTTAGTAAATTCATGACTCAACCTCTTAATGTTCATTATAAAACTGTCATCCAGGTTCTTAGATACTAAAAATGTTCACTTGCCTCAAGGGTTATTTTCCTCTACCTCTGTTAACATTCTTCTTTTTTATTTTGCTAATTCGGATTGGGCTGTTGTTTGGGTACTTGTCGCTCGATCACCGAATTTTGTGTTTTCCTTGGTTCTTCCTTGATTTCCTAGATTGGGTCCTACTGCATTTTTTATGACAATCAGTCTACCATTTACTTAGCTCATAATCTTGTATTTCATGAGTGCACTAAATATATCGAGATTGATTGTCATGTGGTTCGTGAGAAAATTCAACATGGTTGTTGAATTCATCTTTTTCATGTTTCGTCTTCTAACCAGTTTGCATATACTTTTATTAAACCTCTTTATCATAACAGTTCTTGATAACTCTATATCCAAGTTGAGTCTTTGTGACATCCACCGTCCAACTTGAGGGGAAAGTATTAACATAATTATTTTTTAATAATAAATCATATTTTCCTCTTTTGTATTATTTTTAGTTATGATAGATTCTTTCCTTTCTATTTTATGATATATATATATATATATATATATATATATATATATATATATATATATTACAGTTTGTACTCTTTTTTAGAACGAAAATTTCTTAATAAAAATAGATGAATTCATTCATATATAAATAGTAAAAATAATTTAAATTATAAATATTAATCATTTAAACATAAATTATTTGTTATAATTATATATTTTAAAATATTATTTTTAAAATTTATATCATAAAAATATTAATTAATTAATAAAAACTTAAAATTTATTTATATAATTAAATATGTATTTCTTAAAAATATATAAAAGATATATTAATAGACTAATTTATATGCTCATCAACTTGTTTTTTTTATGTAAAACAGAATAAGATTTGTAATTCATTATGAGCTAACTCGTTCTGTTTTTTACGGACAAAAGTCAAAGCAGGTTAAAATAAGACCGCGATTGACCTGTCTTATCATCCTATAATATGTTAGCGAAAAAAAATATACATCTAGATTTAAAATGCTAAATAAAAAAAACCAACTTTTAGATTTAAAGTGATGAAGAAAAAAACCAACTTCTCACCACCGCTGCTTTTGTTGGGCTTGCTTCGATTTCGGTTTCAAAACCTTACTCTCTCTGCACGATGGTATTATATGTTGAATACAAGAGTAAGAGAAATAAATGACATGCATATGTTTAAGTTATGAAATTCTAAAATATCATGCAATTATAAACTTTTAAAAATATTCGCCGAATCATGACTCTTTATCCACTTAATCATGAATAATGAGTTAAATCTTTATTCAATAATAAGAGAAAAATATATATAACTTTGAAGAAAAAAATATATACACACGAAAGAAAAAAAAGGAAAAAAGAGATAATGTTAATCTATTAGACTTTCATCTGTTATGAAAATTTTATATTAGTCTTTCCTATATAAATTTAGGTTGTGTTTCATTGATCGTCGTTTTCATAAATTATTACCTCACTAATTTAGCTATTTGAATGTAAGTCTTAATAATCACCAAATATAAATTATAAACTTAGGTTGATGTTGATTCCTCTTTTGACCCTTAACCTAGATGGTATCAAGCATAATTTTTAGTTATTATTCCCCTCCAAGTGGTTGGTTCTTAATTACATGTTCCTCCTCCTATTAATGTATTAGTCCTCCTATTATTAATTTAAACCATATGTGGGTTGAAAATAATACACCGTAAATTATAAATAATATAATAAAAACAATCCCCTTCATCTCTCAAATTATAAAATTTTATATTTTTTTCTGAAATCAAACTTAAATTGATGAGTTAAAATTAACTCATTACACTTTTTTTATTGGTTCCGATAAATTAGTTAAAAATAAGAAAAAGCCACTCAAAGGGATTGATGCCTGCAACAAAATGGATTTTGTGGCTCCAAAATGTATCACCTAACATTCCATTTAAAAGCCGAATTTAATCCTGACTTATATGGCCCAAAGATAATAAAGCTCGGCGTGCAAATTTAAAGTTGAGAAACGTGTTCTGGTGTTTCTAATTAATAGGATCTCACATATTTATTTATATTTGAAAAAAAGTACTGATTATAAAAAAAATATTAATAAATTTACAACAAAAAAGTGCAAGAAGAACAATATTTAGATGGAAAGAAGGATATCATTTAATTAGATAACCCAAAACGCTAAAATATATCGATGGAGACTATTTTAACTTGTGAAGATTTTATTTTTTCTTTTGTAAAAGTATTTATAGAAATGTTTTGTTAATCATACTTATAGTAAATTAAATTATAGATGAGAAATGAAAGTTTTTAAGTAGTTTTTGTGATAACTGAGTCCTTTTAAAAGTTTCGGGTGTCCCAAAAGAAAACGGATATTGGTGTTGGAAAATTTCTTATAAAATCCAAATTGTTGTGAAGTTCGTGTTGATAATGTTAAACTTAGGACCACGTTTGGATAATGTTATCACGAGAGCGTGTAACTTGTTTTGGTAAATTTTATCACGACGTATGAAAATAAGAAGAAAAAGGCGTATAAGAAAGTGATCAATTACTCCCACAAGTTAATAAATTTTGTAAAAGCTATTTTCAAGCCAAGGAGTTGGTCAAAATTGATCTTCTGATTTCATATTGAAGAAACAAATTATGTTACATTTCACCGAAAAGCCCAATCGAATCCTTACGTTAGTGTGGTCCTAAGAGTTGAGTTGGCACTTCTTGTGAAACTGGTGTTTATGTGTATAGAAAGGCTCCACGCCAACATTCATAGCCCAGTAAAACTTGGCAGATTGTGGATATGAAGTATGAAGAAGAAGAAGAAAAATATGGTTGTTGATGAGCTTTGACAAAATCAAATTTATGTGAAGTTTGTTGGATATTTTTAAAGAGAACTTTTTATATCACTTTAATGCATTGGTTCGAAATTCGCAATTTTCATTAATTTTTTTTGCCTACTTGTATTTCCCACTTTTATACTCTCACTTTCAACCTTAAACCTAATTCTAAGTAGATTTTTTCAATTACGGTGAAATTCTCAATATAATAGCTAAAATAAAAAGTTTTGTTAAGTTAATAGTAGAATACACTAGCTGACTTTGTTAGTTATCGACCAAGTTGACATAGTGAGGTTCTTGTGATTGCTTCAATTTTTCCCATTCACAAGATTTTAAATTGAAGCCCTATGTTGCATGGATATAAGTAAACATAAAATATTTTTAAGATGCTTTCTCCTTTTTAATCTTTACCTGTATCTTTATTATTTTTAATAAATTTATTAATATTTTTTCAATAATATATTTATCATTTAACATTTTTTTCTATTCAAAATTGTTATTAATAACTTTTTTATCTTCTTTTTGTCATTAATATAACTAAAAGAATAAGGATACAAAAAAAAAATCTTAAACTTTATAAATGATAAATAAATAAATATTTCTATAAAAAATTTGATATTTGAAAAAAAAAACAACTTATATTATAGTCCAATGATGAAAATGACTTTTTAATCTTTTTACAGTTTTCAGAATATGTTATCTAAACTATATTGAAAAGTATCCTAATTACACATTATGGAAGAATTTTAGAAAAATATTTTTTGAAATGGATAATCTACATTTTTTAACTAGTTTTTATCATATACAGAGATATATGATTATGAAAGATTTTTGAAACAGTTGAAAATATATTTCAGGATATTCTTTCCAAAATATATTTTTTCTAGAATTCTTCCGAAATTTTGAATACATTCAAAATAACATTTTTCATATAGTAGTGTAAAAAGATTTTAAAAGGTCATTCTTCTGGTTCCACTACAACGGATTGGTACAGGAAAAAAAAATTAATGGAGGAGAAAAAAAAAAAAAATCCAAATGCAATCAACTAATTATCCAATATTCACTCAAAACCATAGACTAATCCTTACATGGGTTTGGCCCAAGGAATTGGACCGTCTTGTGAAATTCTATTCAGTGGCAACACCTTTTGCTTTTTGCACCAGCTGTCTATTTATTTTTTTATTATGCACCGTTTCCCAAAACAAATTTCGAAAAGTTTTTTTTTTTTTAAAAAAGGCACATTGACCCAATACGGTTAACAACCTCACAGAAACTATTGTATTATATTACATATTAAATAGAAATACATTGCTTTAAATTGGTTTTCATAATTTTATCATATTTTAATATGTTTTAATTCTTAATAAAATTAGGAGTTTTGATTTTAGTTTTTTTTAATATTTGTTTTTCCTAAAAATTTTGGCATAACTGTTTGTAGTCTTTATAAAATATATGAATTTTGATTTTAGTAAATATTTATAAGCGTGTGAAGAATGTGCAAAATAGCATCTCCTATGTTAAGCTAACCTTTATATATAGAGTTTTAGCCTAATTTTAAACTGGATAATTATTATAAATAAAATGATTAATAAGTTTTTAGTACTACTAAAATTGGATAATAGATTATCCAACCAAATGAATATTTTTGAATTCATGAAGGTTTATTGAAACAATTCAGGGAATTGAATACCCAAACTTATAAAAAAGTAATAAAATTAATATACCGAAGTATAATTAAGAGTTAGATATTCTATAATTACTTAAAAAAATTATTGAAAATTTGCAAGAGAGTAAAGAAATCTCGTCCAGCGATGACATGCTAAGCAAGTTGCCATTGCAACATTCAAGAATTATGATGCACAAAGATTCTTATAATTTCATTTTCCTTGCAAATTGCAGAGTGCAAGATTTTGATGAGACGATAAAACATGTTTGATGACATATATTCACAGAGAACGTTGAATGTCTGAAAAAGAGCACATTTATCTATGCTTGGATTGAGAGGAAACGATCATTTTTGTTATATTTTAATTAAAAGATTCATGTTACACAATTTGGGAAATAAATCCTTGAAATTCGTGTTAACATTTAACCGGGGTTCGGCCCAACACTCACTGAAATTTATTACCATTTCCTTCAAGCACCGAACATTTTTTTTTTTACTCAACGGGCCGAACCATCGCAGAAAACAAAGATGGTGAGAAAATTTATTGGAAGGTTTATTATTATTATTTTTTTTACTTTGGATTGGATAGTGACAAAAAGTTATCTTTTCGATTTTTGGCATGACATTGAAATGGATTGATGAAGAAGGATAGAGGCGCATATTATTTTAAAAATAGTTTACGTCCTTTTCATTATTCCTCCATTGTTTTGAGTTGAATGGAAGCAAAAGTTACGAGAATCAAATGCTAATTTGCACATTTTGTTCCTTTGTGCGTAGATGAGATGAATAAAATAATGAATTCAATTATTGAGCAATTATGAGAAATATTTATTGTGATAAAACGGCATTAGTTTTGTTTTATGTTGTGGTTGATGGCACGTGTTTGATTGGATGGAGAGAAAGGAAGGTGTAAAAGAGAAGGGTTTGACAGAAATGAAGGGTGGTGAAACGTCAACGTATTTAGTTGAACTAGAAATACGCAGTAAGCAAAGGAAGTACTGGAAATGCAAGCAGAATGCCAACCCATTTTAACCTCTTTTGAGTTGACTCTGCAGCTTTATAGCCCATTCTGAGCCTTTGGCCAAGCTACTACTACACATTGGAGATAGTGCAAAACAACACTTTTAACTGTTTTCTTTTCTCAGTACTCCTATCTCAACATTAATCATAGCTTTCCATTCCCTTCTTTTTCTTCTCCCTAGCAGCCTACCACAGGGTTTGAAAAAGGGTTTCCATAGTAACAATTATTATCTTATAAAAACTATGGCAAGACAACCTGAAAGGTTACTTCTTCACTTTTCCTGTAGGTTCACACTGTTTGGGTGAAACTAAATTAATTGCCAATATCATATACCAATAAAGATAAGGGACCACTTTCTCTGCAATTATAATAATTAACACCTTATCTTCTTATCTCCTGTCCTTTTTACATCACACAATACAATACTCATTTCTCATTTTTCTATCCCTTCTCTCACTTTTATCATAAATAATTCAATTCTGTTAGCTTTAAGCATCTTTTGTCTCCTTCTTTCAAGTGGGTCCCTGCAACAGAGAAGCTAAGATTTATATTTTAACTTATCCACCCAGACCCGAATATTGTGAATCACAGTTTGGTTTCCTTCATTTCCCTCCAAACGTTTCCCGTATGCATATTTATACAACGATTCGATGCTGATGCATTATTTAGTTATTAGGGATAATCCAAACTGTTTTTCATTATCATATATATAATGTTTTTCAACATTCCACATTGCTATGTCCACGCGTGTGTGGGTTTGGAACAAATAAGATTCAGGGAGAAACACGGTGCCTTCAGATTGTACTTGAACTGACCAACTATTTATGTTCAAAGAACACATAAAATTTATTGACTTGCACACGTTTATGCAAGCCAAAAAGCACAGAAAAATGCTAAAGCTGGTTTCCATTATTTAGAAATTCTGAAAAGGTCTGCCAAAACAGTTAGCAGTACAGGCAATGTTAAATGGCGAGGAAACATATCTTTACAATTTGTTTAAGAAATATAGATTTAGAAGATTATTTGTTATATTTGGTTTGACAATGAGAATTGAAGGTGGGATGTTTAAAAAAGGATTTGTTGGATGAAGTGTAAATGAGATTTATTGAAAAGGAGGATGCAGAGGTGCAGTAAGTGGTGAGTGGAGTGCAGAGAAGAAGGAAGGAGGGTCCGCAATTACGCCTCACCGCTAGCTCCCAATCTACCTCGAAAAGCGTTCTCAGATAGCAGTGACTAGTTGCGTAGCATATCGTCAGGATCCAACTCATTTATTGCCTTTCACATTACAATTTCTTAACTCGCTCCCTACCCTTTCATGGATCAATTTTTCATTGTTAATTTCAAATTTATGTTCTTCCTACAAATAAAATTAAATTATTTATTTCAATTTATTTATATTAATATTACTTTAAAATCATTTATTGTTATAATAATAACAAAACCAAAACAAAAAAGAAATTATTCATAACTAATTATGAGCCTGACAGAAATTATTCTCAAATTTAAAAATACATTAAAATCTTGGACGATACAATCTATGTGTGCAATGTTATGAAGTATTTTAATATATTTTTTCGCACAACTAGAATTGGATCTTTTCTTTTACCACATCACTCACGTAATAAATCTGTGTGTGATATGTTTTTTCAATAAGATATTTAAAATAAAATAAAATAAAATAATGATGAAGTTAATTAATTTCAGATAATACTTCTAATATATAATTAATCTTAACGTTAATTTGACGTCAGAACATAAGTTTGACATCAGTAAGAGATTAAATATAATTTATACGTACTCTCGTTAAATATAATAAATAATTTTAATGATGTTATCATAAAGTTATTTTGTATGATAAAATAAAATAGTTTATTAATTTTTTAAAATTAAAGTAATAACAATTCTTCATAAAACTAGTTTTATTAAATTATAATGTTATAAAAATAGAAGTTATAAAATAGATTAAGCTAATTACGTGTGGCTGGGTATGCTCAGTTAAATGTAAATGTAAGACTTGGATTAAATTTTCAGCTCCAATCAATATAAAAACTATTTTACTCAATCTGATATTGACTTAATTGTCAAAAACACCAAAAAATTAATAAAAATATAATTTTACAAGGCATAAAATTTATTTTGAAATCTGAAGTCAATTTGATTTTTTAAGCACGTCCACCTATACTTCGCTACGTACACTGTTGTTCCACTAAAAAATATTAAGGATTTTATAACGTCAGAATTTTCGGAATTCACGATTTCGAAAAATGAATAAAGTTCTCTTATACTCTAAATTAAACATTGGAACACGGAGAAAAAATATAATAAATTACATAATTTGACAAAAGAAAATATTAAAAATAATAATATCAATAGAATATATTATATAAAAGTAGATAGATATTAGAGGTATTACCGTGAATTATCAGTATTATTCTTCACATTTTATGCGAGGTAATAATTAGTGAATCTAACAAGAAAAAGGTGCCGTTGTTTTAGAGACTATTTATGTTGTCGGTGAGAGAAGGTTCCCTGGACATAGTGTTATGTTATAAAGCAAAATAAAAAAAAAAAGTAAAAAAAAAAAAAGAGAATGATGTGAATCGATCCATGCGTTCATAGTGACTTAACATGAATGGAAAGAGTGAGTTGATGGAGAAAATTGATACTGGGAACGGAAGAGGATCTAAAATTTGATGATGGAGGTGTTTAGTGTGATTTGGTGGACCATTTTGTCCTTTAGTTATATTTTTTTTGGGTAAATATGTGTAGCGGAGAGAGGGCCAGTGTACTGTTATCTTCATGTATGCGTGCCTTTGCGGCCCTTTCCGACGGTGACGGAGGTGAGGTTGAAGGTTGCAGTGAATTTACTTATCTCCCAGTCTTCTTCTGACATATGTCATGTGACTGTGGGGGCTACTGGGAGCCTTTATCAAACCAAACTGGTAAAACTTCAACCCAACTTACCAAAGCAAACACCTTTCAGTCAAAAACAATCCTGCTTGATTCATGCACCAACATTGCAACCAATCCTTCTGCCCCACTTCCACCGCTACCTGGTCCCTCTTCATTCTCAGCCCTTCATCTTAAATACCCAACTATTTCACCCCCATCAACGCTGCAGCACTCATCTTCCCTAGCCCCAACCCCACACATCATGGGCGCTTTCTATCTCTCATAATAACTATTAATCAAATTGTAAATCCAATCATCATAAATGAAAGAGAGGTACAAGCAAACATATGCTCTCACGACACTTTTTTTTTTCTATAATACTTTCCAATATCAGTTCATGTATATAATTACATTAGAATTCAAACACTATCTGTTATCATGCTTTCGATGGTAATATCAAGGCTTTTAGAGTGTCCTTAACGCTACCTTAATTGTTTAGAAAATATCATAAACAAGAGTCTTACTAAACTAATTTTCCCACAAAGAATACATTAATTTTAGTTTGTAAAAAGAAATATCATAAATAAGATAGGTTCCTAGATTTTCCTCAAGTTTCCCAAGATAAAATAGTAGTCACAAGTTGCTATAAAAAGGGCTTCCTCTTACAGTGACCCTGCTGGATATTGTTGTTGTTGGTCGGTTCATTGATAAATAACAATCTTGCTTTCTATCCTCTGCACTTTCTGCTCTCTCCTTCTACAATTTTATTCTTTCTCTCACCCCTTACCTCTTTTTCTCTCTGATACAAACCCTACATCCAGAACCCGTTTCCTGAGCCTCCCATACTCTGCAACTCTCTTTTTTCACCTTCCCCATTCTCATCTTTCATGGATGTGGACATACTGAAGGCTTCCGCGTGTGATACCACCAACATGGACGTGATGGCAATGATGATGCAAATGGAAAAGTTCCCCGAATTCTCCGACGCTTTTTATACCACCACCCCCCCTTACACAGAAACCGACTTGTTGTCAACTGGAAGCTCCTCAACCAGCGTTTCCACCATTTTCAACAACCCAACTCCACCGACTCTCGTTGATCCGCCACCGCCAAATGTTCTCAATTTTTCCAATAACGACAACAATCTTATCCAACAACCTATGACACCCTCCGTCCACGCCCCACAACCCAACACCACTTCCTTCCCCTACCCCTCGGAGAAAAAAAACTCTATGGCAGCGATGAGGGAAATGATATTCCGAATAGCGGTGATGCAACCGATTCACATAGACCCCGAATCCATAAAACCACCGAAGCGAAGGAACGTGAAGATTTCGAAGGATCCGCAGAGCGTGGCGGCGAGGCACAGACGGGAAAGGATAAGCGAGAAGATAAGGATTCTGCAGAGATTAGTCCCTGGTGGCACCAAGATGGACACGGCTTCTATGCTGGATGAGGCCATTCACTATGTCAAGTTCTTGAAGAAACAGGTGCAGACGCTGGAACAAGCAGGGGCAAATAGACAACACAGTCACAATACCGTTGGCGCTGTCGGTTTCCCAATAGGGATGTCTAACACCAACAACGTTAACTATTCTTCTTTGTTGATGAAGGGTTGCCAACCTTGTCAAGTGTTCGGTTCTACTTCTAAACAATTGCTCAGCTAATAAATAATTGAGAGAAGACATAGGAGAGGGAGTTAATTTTCTTGTTTTCTGATGCTAAGCCACGAGTTCTGTGTAATGGTGATTGGTGTATGCATGGTTTTGGGGGGTCGTGAAGAAACTGTTTCTCCTTGTTACATATTACCATTGTTGCAATGAATTTCTTTTGCTTGCAATGGTGAGATGGGGTAATCGGAATTTCAATAACGTAATGGATCAATATGTTCTACAATCTTCTATCTTGTCTTATATGTGTTTTACATTATGTGATCATCTCCAACTTGAGCCTTCACACAAATTTAATTAATCATAAAAGTAGTTGTAAAAAAATAAAATAAAAATAACTTAAAAAGAAAAATTGTTTGCATTTAATTAAAAACACAATTTTACATGAATGATACCAAAGTTTCTTTGAAGATCTCTATCATTACGTTGACTTTATCATCTGCATATCAATTTTTTTATTGATATCAAATATGTTGGTTTGTTTTCTCGATGTTTAATGGACAAGTGTTATTAATATTATTATTATTAACTTTAACCTTTACATCGCGTTAGGGTTCACATGCAATGCACTCCGGGGTTTTATTTTATCCTTAGTGATCTTAAACGACTCTACTGGGCGAAACCTACATACACGATAGTTTGATCATGATTCTCGCTTTTCAAAGTCTTTTATCCTTCAATGATTCTTGCTTTCATTTATCTACCATTCAACTTGTAGTGCGTGATGTCCGTTCAATATACCGTAAACATAATTTAATTTCTTATCTTAATGAATTTGCAAAGCATATGCTGAAAAGCTTGAAAGTAAAAAGTTAATCATGGTATATTTAGTTTGAAACTCAACTTTCATTTTAAGTCAATTTACAGATTAGTAGTTCATTTTCTGATGTTTTAATCCGAGAATATTTTTAAACCGAGTAGAAGAATCATGAATCCGATATCTAAGAGTTAATCTAAGTTAATAAACTAATACGTTTATATATTTTTAATAATATACTAATAATAATAAAATATATTTCTTAGTAATTATAATCTTTTTAAAATATAGTTATAATAAAATTCATTAAATTATAATGAAAATTATTGACATAAAATATAAAATATAGTATAAAAACTGAATTATAAAATTAAGATAAAAATATAATAAAATATTTTATCTGAAATGAAAGAGACATGCTTACTTAAAAAAAGAACTAGATAACTACAAATAATAAGATGTTTAGGCAAGATTAATATTCACATATTTATTATGTTTAATTAATTATCAAAGTGTTACAATTAAAATTTTAGATAAACGAAAGACTTATTTTTCATACTATAATGAATCTATAAAAAACTTACAAACAAGTAACCCAAATTGAGTATTTTAATTTATTATTAATAAATAATTGATAAAAAATAATTAATATAAACTTAAGTTATATATAATTTCTAAAAGACCTAGTTAATAAGAAAGAAATAGAATATTTGGTTTCTTCCTCACTTGATGGTTAACATGAGTTATTGAAAATGATTTTGAGTTTTGGTTTTGTTACCATCCAAGTCAGTGAAGAGATCCAAAGGTCAATGATAATTTATGGTCATGGGGACTCAACTGGGTGTGAAATGTGAGAAGTACCTGAACACTTAAGGGATGGAGAGAAAAAAGATGAAGTGAATGATAAATCAAGACATAAATGAAGGGATATTAATTATTTTGATTGGTGATTAATAAGGTTTGTCTCATAACATGTGTATGTCCTTAGAAAGCTATTGATTTTGAGTAAATGACAAGTGTCTTTGATAAAATCTTAAAACCTCAGTGCACTTTATTGGTACTAATAGTTAGAATAATCAAATTTGTCAATATAACTTCATTTGAATTTCATATATATTACTTTTTTTTGTTGGTCTAATTACATAAGAGATATGAAGTAAGAAAGAAAAAAAAAAATATATATATATATATATATATATATATAGCATTAATAGGTCTAATCATTTTTGGGTCTGTAAGCATTAATAGTTTGTCTAGCACATAAAGTCTGATCAAATTTTCTTAATAACTTACTATGACCTGTTGAGGAATACCATTTTTTTTTTATAAATATGAATCGCTAGTTAAGTTAAACATTATTTTGAATAATATCTTTCCATTTCATAGCTATCGTCCTGAGATCAAATCTCTCTTAACAGATTATTCTAAAACATTTTAAAAAATGTAATTAAATAAGAATAAAATTATTGTTCGAGTTATATACAAAATTAAATGTGCTTGTGGTGATTTTTTTCCCAAGTCAACAATTTTTATGTTCTAAAGATGCAACTTCTTTATTTTATCCTTTGTTTAAAAAATTCATAAAAGAAGTATTTGTAACTTTTTTATCTTTACTCATGGCTAGAACATACTACACATTCTAAAGGAGTTATATTATATCGGTCTCTTTTATCTGGTACAGAATCAATGTATATTCTATGGATCAAAATTGTTATTTTTTTTTTCTCACATGGACAATATTAATGCAGTTAGAAATGATACAGAACGTATATTTAATCATTTTATTTTGTTATATTTTCTATATTGAAACAAAATTGTTATTTCAAGCTCTGTTTTTAGAAGACAAATACAATGAATATTGGACAAAATTAGGATGATAATTGATGGGGGGATGAACATAGTAATCTTCCATCACCCACCTCATAGAATAAAGATCTCTTTCATACTCTCACCCGTGTAATCATTAAAAGTGTATGTACTTACAAATTTCATGGAACATCCATTCTATTGATTAGTATCTGTGAACTGTTTTAAAATATTAATTAAGAATGTTTTTGGTTTTAAAAAAAAAAAAAAACAGAGTTGGGTTAAGTATTATATATTATTATTATTATTATTACGTTCTCTTGTCCCTTGTGTAGCAGCTGAACCGAAAACCCCAAAGATCCGAACACATGCTACTTTTTGAGCTGCTGTTTTAATTCACAAGAGAAGGGCCCTAGGAGGGTGGAAGTAGGTTGCCTCCTGCAGCAAGGTCTACTTATTTATGTGTTCATGTCTCAAGGATCATGCCTCTTCAATAACATTGTTTTCTAATCCTCACTTTCTTCAATGAAAGATACAAAATTTAAAATAAAATATTAGCTATAGATATGGACAAGGCATATCTACAGAGAATTCAGCCATGTGAGATATTCCACTACGGTCCCGACACGCCATTTAAGATGAGATTTTAAATTGTTTATTTATTGCAGAATAAAGACTAAAGAAGCAAATAGACAATGTACAACCTGCTATCATCTCTACGCATTCCATGGTGCAATGTATCCTTCTCTTCCAAATTCTCCCTTCTTATCATTCCAAGTCCAATTTATATGTACCCATATGTCTACCCCCAACCACCCACCATTTCACTTTCCTAAAAATCCTATTATTTAAAAGAGTGCAGTGCAGAGATACTGAAACCCCTCCCTGTACAAATTTCATTCATACAACCACCGGAAGGATTTTAACACTATTCCAATATCCACACCTCCCACAGTTTCTAGAAAGCCCAACAATACACCTCAACTTTCCTGCTTGAGATATAATCTCATTAACCCAATATTCTTACTTGTGGAATGTTTACGTGCAGTGCAATAATAACATTATTCTAACATCCTTTGTAGTAAAGCTTTTATGTTGGTTTTATATAAGATATAAAAAAATTCAATTACTTAAATGTTAATTATGAATTAATATAAACTATATAATTTTTATTCATGTTATCTTGATACTTCATGTAACATATGTGCATATATTTTATGTACATAACACTTGAATAAGAAAAGAAAAGAAATATATATATATATATATATATATATATATATATATATATATATATATATTATGTTAACTAATTATTGAAATTAAAGTTTTTAGTTACAAGGAAAATACAATGTATAAAATAATGAAAACTTGTAATGTTTGTCCTCTAATTTTACCTGTTAAATGGATACGAGACTAAAAAAATTAATCCCTCAAATTTCTTTGTCTACTATTCTAATTAAATTAGATTTTAACGATTGTGTATGAAATATTTTATAACAAGTAAAAAAAATAAATTTGAAATCTCTTTAAAGGCGGTATGAACTGTTATCATGATTGAGTAAGAAATAAGTGTAGTACATGTTAACACTACCTGACGGAGACTAAGAAAATGTATTTAATGCATACAAATACTGAGAGTAGAGAAAGAAAAATGTAAATTTTTGATTGACCGCAACTACATGGATAAGAAAGTGTTCTATGTTTATATAGAACTTTGACTAAAATAATTGTTTTAATGTAGTTATTATTGTTAGTATATTGATTACAACAACACACCCCCTTAATAAAAAATACTAATAGATCTTAAACCCAGTAATTCTCTCAGCTTTTCAAATCTGTTTTGCCTCAAAGCCTTTGTGAACACATCAAGCACTTGATCTTCTGTAGAGTAGTGTATGAGTTCCAATCTACCTTTACAAACTTGATCCCTCAGGAAGTGAAACTTTGCCTCTAGGTGTTTACTTCTCCCATGGCACACAGGATTTTTGGACAAGCTAATAGCAGACTTATTGTCTACCAATAGCTGTATTGGTTTTCTGCACTCAAGCTGCAATTTTTCAATAAGTGATTCAAGCCACAAACATTGGCATGCCGCTTCTGCTGAGGCTATATATTCTGCCTCACATGAGGACAATGCCACGACTTTCTGCTTCTTGGAGCACCATGAAATAGGTGCCTGCATATACTTGAAGAAATAGTCAAATGTGCTCCTTCGATCCACTACATCTCCACACTAATCTGAGTCAATCCAAACCTCCATAACTCCTTCATTCTGATTTGTTTTCTTAGGAAAAAATAGTTCAAATTCTACTGTGCCTTTCAAATATATGCTTTGTTACAGCTAGATGTGACGTTCTTGGGTTATTCATGAATCTATTAACCAAACCAACTCCATAGCTAACATCCGGTCTGCTGTTACAAATGCATCTTA